TGCATAAGCAAATCTAGAGCATTTTCAAGTTTTGCTGTAAACTTTCTCTGAAACTAATATATCAACAATCAAAAGTCCTTAAATGTTTTTAAACAAAAAATACATTTTACTCGACGAATATTCGTATAGCAGTAATCCAAGACATTAGGACATACACGGAAAATGTAAAAAACAGTACTGCTTACATCAAATGCAAAATCTTTAAATAGAGGAGATTTCCGAATAAACTCATAAAAAAGTGGTTTTGATGACATAATCCAGTTTCTTCCTGATATTCTAATATTTTCAAGAATAAATTGTTTTCGATCATACTGAATGTCATCAAATGACAACTCACTAATAATGTTTTGTTATTCATTTGAAAAAGGAACTAAATAAAATAGTTTAAGTTTACCAATAAACTTTTATTGTTATATATATATATATATATATATATATATATATATATATATATATATATATATATATATATATATATATATATATATATATATATATATATATAAACATGACTTACAGTTTTATTTTAACTTGCAGTTTTACCTGCAACATCAAAAGTTGTTGGCGAAATGGATTTACGTTTTTAAGTAGCTAAGGCGTGGATACCATTAAACTTCCTAATTATTATTAGCCGCTCCTTAATACGTCCTAGAGTTTTCTTTTATTTTTTTTTTTTTGCAATTCACTTCAACTTTTTTATAAGCACAATAGTAATTTTTCTAAATATCCAAGTAAGGATAATGCAGTATAACTAGCAAAAATATTACTTACAAAAAATATAAATACTTTTTTAAACTATTTTTTTCATATTTATATATTTTTTAAACTTTTGTTTTATTTCTATTTTTATTTACTATAAAATATATTATTTTGGTTATTTTTATTTATTTTATACTATATTTCACTTTTAACTGCATCTATTTACAAAAACGATTAATTACAATAATATAAACAATTTTAAACATTGCCGTAACCTTAACCCTAAACCTGACCTTGACGCCTGGTCTAACCAAACTCTCAGTCGATGTAGCAGCACTCCCTTGCAAACAATATGAGCTAACCCAGCAGGCACAAGACGTTAAAAAGACGTGTTATTTCTATCTTTAACATGTCTTATCTAGCGCAGATTCGAAAAAAATATTTTAAACGTCTTTCCTAATCGGTATATGATGTCATCTTTGCATTTTATTACGTTTTATTCCCAGCTGAGCTTGACAAGACGTTTTTTTGAAAGAAAAAACACGTCTATATTTAGTCATTCTAAAGACTTAAACGTAATTACGTACGTATACGTACGTAATTACGTTCAAGTAAATGCTTTGCATATTCGAAGTTAAAAAAATGCCGTTTATTTTTAAATGCTTTCGCAAGTTAGTTTTTAAACTTGAATTTTATAATTCAAGTTTAAAAATTATTTGTTATATAAACTATATACAAGTTTTATAAACTATATTTATATGCTATAGCGTATAGTTATATGTGGTAGAAAATTATAATGGTACCGTAAGTTGAATTTATTTATACTATGTTATCATGGGTGTTATCATAATACGTTATCATTGATAATACATTAACGATGTATTATATCATAATGTTATAATCTCTATCATAATGTCAATATAATAGATAAATGATAAATATTTATAGTACGATAATATCATACTGTAAATATAGTAAGCATGCTAATTTTTAATCATTATAACGATCGCTAAAATAATTATATAACTTATATAATTAATTTTAGCCATCAAAGTTAGTAAAAAATAGCATGCTTATATTACAGACTATTTTGCACTAATTAATAGCATAATAGTATAATCAGTCATTTAATAAAGTAGTTATTATGTTATCTCTTTATTTTTATAGCTACGTTATTGCATCATTAAATAAGTATGATTAAAAGTAAGGAATATTATTATGCCATAAAAAATCAACTCTTTTTTTTTAATTACTCTGTTAATTTTGTTTTAAAATTCAAACAAAAAAATTATATAAAACATGTATGCACAAATAAGTTTCTAATATTTTTATTTTAATATGTGTATTTGTAACAAAAAAAATAGTAACCCATGTTTAACATGTGTTGGTAATTTAATAATTTATATAAGATAATTTAATGTCAAATGATATTTGAAAGTTACTTATATTAATTTACTAATAAATTATCGAATCATATATATATATATATATATATATATATATAAAAATATATATATATATATATATATATATATATATATATATATATACATATATACATATATAATACATTATATATATAATATATATATTATATATATATTTATATATATATATATATATATATATATATATTTAACTTAACAATAAGAAAATTAGGTTATAAAAAATAAATTAAAAAAGTAAATTAATTAAAAGTATATGGCTTATTTTCGGAAGTACAAAAGAGTGCAAGGTGAACTAGCTGCTATTTTAAAAAATTAGTTTCAAGACCCAGTCACACCTATACTAAGCAGTGAACTCTCTCAAACAGAAAACAATTTCCTATTGATGATGCTGAAAATTTATTAAACTAAACTGTATGTCCTGAAGAAGAAAAAATCGATTATGTTTTTAACTTAAGTGAAGAAGACACGTCTTCAGATTTTGATATTTGTTATAGCAATGAAGAAATAGTTGACAGAAAAGATAACCAATTTCTAAGCCAAGATCTAGCTGTCATTGTAAGTAGATATAATCTTCCAAGACTTTGTACAAATGAGTTACTAGCCATGCTTAAAAAACATGAGCATATACTCCCAAAAGATGCTCGTACCTTACTAAAGACACCCAAACACTTTGAATGCGAGGAAAAGTGTGAAGATTGCTACATTTATTTTGGAATAAAAAATGGCATTAAAAAACAGTTGCAAGTAATACCTAACTACCTTAATAAAAACAGTAAAATAGAACTTTGTGTTAATGTTGATGGAGTTCCCATATTTAAATCATCTAAAGTTCAGATTTGGCCTATCCTTGTATTTAATGATGATGAAGATTTTGCACTTCGTAACACTACTGAATTTAACAATTTTAAATACAATATCAACATTTTTTGAGTTCTCTTGTTCGTACTCATGTAAGTTGTGTAAACGATTTTGTTTTGGATTATATGCATTTGGTATGTCTTGGTGTTGTAAAAAGATTATTCAATTTTCTAAAAAGCGGAGTAAGATCATGTAAACTATCGACCACGCAAGTAAAAGCTTTTTCAGATCGTCTTTTGGCATTAAATGGTAAACTACCATCAGAATTTGCAAGCCAACCAAGATCACTAGGTGACTTAAAATACTGGAAAGCTACTGAATTTAGACAGTTATTGTTTTACACTGGTTTGATTCTGCTCAAAGGAATTGTGTCTAAGAATATTTATCAACACTTTCTTGCCTTGAGTGCAGCTATGCGTATACTATTAAATGAGAATAAAGAACTTCGTATGCATTATCTTAATTTTGCTCATTCGTTGTTATCATGGTTTGTAAAAAATTCAAAGCATTTCAAAAGAATAAATTTTTTGTGTTTATAATGTACATAGTTTATTGCACATTCATGAAGATGTTATTAATATGCCGTGCTCACTTAATCAAGTTTCTGCATTTCCTTTTGAAAACTATATGAAGGTGTTGAAAAGTTTTATAAGAAATTTGAAAAAAAGGTAATGTTCAAGTGGCAAAACGTCAAGCTGAATTAAAGAGTATTACGAATCGAATTCAGTTTGGCAAAACTAATATTTCGTCTATACGCTTTCGTGATTCAGTCTTTTAAATTGATAATGGTTTTTGTTTTCTTAAAGAAAAACAAGATAATGGATACTATGTTTGTTCAACTTTCAAATTTGTTCAATCGGAATAGTTGTTTGAAATGCGTATATGCTCGAAAGATTTAAACATTGGATGTTTATCTAATTTTAAAAGCTTTAACATGACATCTAAAGTGTTGCATAGATCAGAACTCTTACAAAAACTAGTTGTCTTACCATATTAACTTTTTTCCCTTTAATTCATATGTAGTATCTTTATTGAAATTTTTATCTAATGTTTAATGTATTTTTTTAATGTTTGTAATGATTATTTTTACCTCATCCAAAAATTTAAAATTATAATAATTTTCGTTTTGAATGTGATTTATTTTAATTGTGCATTTTAAATTAAATATTACTAATGCTAATTTATAATCTGATTTAAAATGTAGATTTTTAATTAGCAATAGCATATAATATGTATATATATATATATATATATATATATATATATATATATATATATATATATATATATATATATATATATATATATATATATATATATATATATACAGTTTATATATAATAATGTTGTGGGCACGTGTTATTTAGAAATAGTTAGGTCCACGGATCTATGAAGATGTCATCCACAGAACTTGGGTAAACCGCGAAAAAAGTATAATTTATGGGTCTGATGGAATAAAAGATGAGAGAAAAGCAATGGAAGACAAATTGGAAATAAAAATGTGGAAAAAATTTACAATGATCAAGTTTTCAATTGAAAGCGGTAATATATTTTTCTGTTCAAACATATTTCATTTGAAAGGTATATTTAAAAGGCTTAGTAAATTTGAAAATTGCATCCTTTTTTTGTTTATAATTAGATGATGAGCAATTGTGTAAAGATTATGCATTTTCATCTGAAAGCGAAAGTGAGAAAATCACTATAAATGGTAAGTGATCAAGTGGAAATTTTGTTAATATATGTAATAAAGTTCTATACTTTGAATACTATATATAAGTTTGAACTATGATAATTTTATAGACAATGTATCAAATAAAGTTGTTGACTTTGCTGTTCAAAGTTTGCCATCTCCTCCTTCACCACTTAGAGGTGGAGTTTTAAAATTAGAGTTAGTTTAATTTATATTTAAGAAATATAAGATTATAAGAGAATAAAATTTATCTTAAAAAACAATGAATATCAATTTAAGTTCTGTTTTTAAATCTTATTTTATAGGCTCATCATCATGTCATGTTGCTCCTCGAACTCAGTTTTTCTTGTCAATCAAAACCCTCACTAGACTTGTTTAGAATGCCTTCTTCTGAATCAGGTACATTGAACATTGTTACATTAGAATTCTATTTTCATTTAAAAATGAGAAATTACATAATTAACTAATGAATTTGAAATTAAGATAAATTGATTATATATTCATATCAAGGGTTGCGTAGTCCAAATCAAGGAAATATAAATAAAGGCATTAAATCACAGAAAATTTGGAAAATACTTCATCTAAGCGATGTCTAGAACTAGATGCTGAATCAGGTGGGAGTTCTCACTTTGAAGAGCGTCTTACGTCAACTGCTAGTACGTTTTGTATAGTTTATTGAGTTTAATTTATATCTCAATGTATTGTGTTAGAGTTTATATTATTAAAAAAAAACCTTTCAATACTAATTGAGATTCGAGATGGAATAATTTCATTATTAAAAGTTAATAACAATAGTGGGAGTCCAAATGAAATAAATATGATAATGGATGTTGAAGCAATGGAAAAAGAAAATAATTCACTAAAGGACATAAATGAAAAGAAGATTTTGGTATTTTATGTGATTTTATTATGTACAAATAAAATATATTTAAAAAATTTAAAAAAGTATATTTTATTATGTACAAATAAAATAAACTTTTAAAATTTAAATAAGTAACACACTGATTTTAATTTGCACACACAAAAGTGAAGAGCATCCACCAACATGCTATTTTTCTATTTATGTTTTTAAATCATCTTGTAGATTTTTTCTGGAATTTAAATGATTTATTTAATTTTTCTCTGAATTATGATATCTGGACATAATGAATTGATTGAAATTTATGAATTTATTTAATTTTGTTTTTATTTTACTTGCAGTTGGAAAAGCTAAAAAGTATTGATGGCGATAATTTTGAACAACTTTTCCGAAACATACTAACAAATTTAAAAAAGTAAATTTATAACTAGTGCACCTTTTAGATAATTTTATTTGGGTTTGTAACAATTTTAATTTTTTTGATTTTAGTTGTTTCTTGAATATGATTTTCAATACTTGTTAATTATGTTTATATATATATATATATATATATATATATATATATATATATATATATATATATATATATATATATATATATATATATATAATTTTTACATATCGTTTGATTTTTCAGATTATTTAGCGTTGAGCTACGATCGAAAATGAATTTGAAGGAAAACGACCGAAAAAGTTCTTTAGAAGTAAAGATTTCCTTTGACAAATTAGAATACAGTAGTGCAATTTACGGTAAGATCTGTTATACTTAACTGTCATAACTGTTTTACATGATATGTACATATATGTAATGTATTTAATAATGTTAATAAAATCTTAGTTGCTGTTATGGCCAAATGGTCAAATGCTGATCACAGATCTATACAAAAAATTGTAGGAAACAAGTTAAAAAATGCACCTGCTGAGTTAAAACTTTCGCCAAAATACAACTAATTCCATTTTATATTTATAATGTAATACATATATATAAAATTTATTATATACTATTTATTAAACAGTTGTATATATTATTTAAACAGAAACTTATAACTCGACATTTATTTTTCGTTGTTTATGGTTTAGATTTGTTAAAAAGAGGGGATTTAGCGGTTTAAAATAACATCTTCAAACACGTATTTTGAGATTAGCGTTTTATGCTAAAAAAAAAACGCAATTTAGAAATTAAATTAGGTTTAAAATACGTTTAAAACACGTTTTTTTACTAGGAATAATAAACGTATTTTCTAGATGCATTATTACCGTCTTTTTTTTCGATTACCGTCTTTTTTTTGGATTTGCGTTCTATACTATAAAAACACGTATTACAAGCGACTTTAATATGCTATAAAACATTTTAAAACATTTAATATGCTATTAATTGTTTTAAACGCGTATTTTTGTCTGCTGGGAATCTTTTAGAAAAATTATGTTTGGCTTTATACCTTACAACAATCATGTGAAGAAGTCAACTTCGTTTTATAAAAATTTCGTTAGGAATTATTTTCCGATACTTATAAAGATGTTTTTACTCAGAAAAAAATTCTTTCATCAATGAGTTATTTTCCATGACTAGTTTAGTTACTCAATACATGTGATTTATGAACAATTTAAATTTGGAGATAAAATTCATCACGCATTATGCATTATGTCATGCAATATCATGCATTATGTCTGCAAATATCATATCGAAGCAGGATGATAATTTGGCAATTCAGTTCAACAACCAAACCGTTTAGTTCCAAAATTTTTATTACAAATTTCCCCACTTTGCATCTGCTAAACTTGAAAGTTGTATAAAATATCTGTTCTTAGAGCTTGTTTGTCTTCTTTAAAATCATGCTGGATGTCAACTTTTGATATCATGCACATGTAACACGGTAATGAAATAGTACTGAAATTTTCCATATATTCTAATATAGTGCAGACGTAAATTGTTTCCAACAATTCGGGTTAGTAACATCTAATGTTAGTTTTTTTGCCTTCAATAAAAATATCAAATTCTTCGCCATGAAGTTTTTGCAATTCATTTACAATCACTATTATCAATGGCTCTGCTGAATATTTTTTTATGTCTTTAGCGTGAGTTAATGGTAACATATGAATGTTGTTCAAGGATGAGTTTGCTGCGTGAGGAAAGTTCTTTATCACGAAATAAAAGACGCGAGTTTTATGCCTGATTTTGATCCAAGAGGATTTGTGGTCTCTACTTCATCAAATTATATTTGAATAAATAAAGGGAAATTTTTAGGAAATTTAAATTTGTCATATGCCATTAAATTTTTACCATTTTCACCATAAACCAATCCTCAACAAATGCAAAATTAGATATTTGCTTTACTTTTAACATAGTCATGTCTTCTGGCTGTAGCAACACAGCTTTATTGTGCTTTTATTAGATAGGTAATAAACAAATCCTTTACTTTGACTTGTACTTACTTTTAAGTCTTTCTGTCACGTTTTGTATCCTATTATTTATCTATTGAATGTGGTACTGGTTCAACATATAGGCCTTTATTTTTCAAATATAATAATATTTGATGTTGTAAGTCAATTCCACTAGAAGATATTTTTCATCTGTTAAACTCTATTGTTAAGTTGTCTACTACATGCTTCTCACATCTACATGTTTCCACTATTGAATCTGTTTTACCTAGTAAATAATTAAGTATTTAATAAGGTTTTGTAAACAGTTCCAACAACATCTGAAGTACTTAAAGGAATAGAACTGGAAAACATTAAAGCTATAATAAATTTTAATGCTGCTTGTGATACCATACTTATCAACAATAAGTAAGGCAACATCTCTCACATCCTATGTCTATTTTAATTTTACTTTTAGCTTTTAGAATTAGGTTTTACTGGATTTTCACAACTTATTTTAAATCTTCAATCAATATCAATTACAAATCCGGCATGATCTGTATTTATATATTTTCTCAGCATATTAATATTATAAAATATTTTTATTATATTTAATATATTTAGTAAACAATTGTATTAACCACCGACATTGCATCGAATTTGACAACACTCAAATCAAAGATGAACATTCCTCAAGTAATATATGTAAAAAGCAACAGTTTAAAAATCTTTGTGGCAAAGGTAACAACACATTGACATCCCTATAAAAAGTACATAATATTAAGTTCGCTTTTTCTGCTGCAATGACAGACTAAAACTTTATAGCTGGACCCATTTTTATTCAAATACAATGAAACAAAATAGAGTTCATTTTCACAAATACATCCCTGTCAATATCTTCACCTTTAAATATCAAGTTTATGATTAAATAACTTTTATAAAGTTCAACTAGTTAAATTTGTTTTATGCATTAATGTTTTAAACTAAATTTATATGTAGTAATTACCTACTCAACAATTTCCACAGAAATTGTTTCCACAGTTTATCAACTTTCAGTTGTTTCCACAGATATTCCTTTTAAATTCAAACGATGAATTAACTCTTAAGTGCTTAACTCTTTCAGGACTGTTCAGAAATTGGTCACATGTCTGAACACGAAATATCAAGTTTTGACCTTAATTAGTTAAATGACTATAAAATATGAAGTACTAGTCAAAATTGGTCGAATGAGAGCTCTTTTTTTTTTATATAGTAAGCCGTATTTAAGAAAAAATTTATTTTTTTCTCTGGTAACGTGACCAAAACTGTGACATAGCCACAATGAACCACAGTGACCGCCAGGTTTGAAGTCTCCCCACATCAGATTTTTTTATATATATACTTAGTTGTATATATGAAATAAATATTTAGTTAGTTAAAACCTCTAGGGGAATGGAAAAATGTATGAAAATCAAAAAATGAAAAGTATTGTTTTTAGTTGAAAATACCCGCCATTTTCAACAAAATTGCCCGAATTTGCCAATCAAATACCGGCGTTTTTTACTCTGGTTCACAACGACTTGAGTTTTACAAAAGGGCGGTCAACAATTTATGCGCTGTTTGTTTTAAAATCTTTAGTAAAAAGTCAGCAAAGCTTGATGAAATAACTAAACCTATTGAAGAAAAAATAAAAACTTTTATTTAGGATAGTTATGATCAAAATTTAGCAAATCATCCTGAAATTATTTGTAGCAATTGTTATAAAACCTTTATTGTTTGGAAAAGATCATACAAAATACCTTGATAAGTGGCTAAAGCAAGTTTCTCAGGTTAGTTGATAAAATTAATAAAAAAACTTTATTTAAGACTTGGTGTTCAGAAGTTTTATTTTTAACATTTTTGTTAAAAGTAAGAGCCGTGTCTCAATGATTCATTGAGATTCAAAGAACCTTTATAAATTAATAAAATTTTAAACAACTTGTTATATATAACAAGCTGCTTAAAATTCCTATATAGAGGAGCTAATATTGATGTGTTTATTAATAATGTGTTATATTTTTTATATTACTAGTTTATATAGTTTTAGATATATATTTATGTGTGTGTATATATATATATATATATATATATATATATATATATATATATATATATATATATATATATATATATATATATATATATATATGTATATATATATATATATATATATATATATATATATATTATATATATATATATATATATATATATATATATATATATATATATATATATATATATATATTAGGGCTGTACCGGATTTCGGCTTCGGCTCCTGCTCCGGCAGAAATCTGGGCATTTTTACAAATCCGGCCTAAATCCGGCTCCGGCTAAAATTTTGCAAATCCGGCATAATTTTAGCCGGAGTTTTGAATTTTGTCAAGTATTTATTACATTTTTTTTGCCCGTGTTTACATGTATACCTAATATTTTATTTATAAAAATCAATTTTTTTTTTTATTCTATATTTTATTAACCTCATATTTGTTTCGGTATTTGTATTTATATTTCTTTATAATTTAATAAGCTTAGTCTAATTTCAAACAACAACGCAACAAAAAATTCTGAAGGGAAGACACGATATTCTACAATGATGCAGGTATAAAGACTATGATGTCAACCCTAATCAAGTGATTGGATGAGCGTTTTAAAAGCATTGAAAAAAGAAACCTCTTTATATACTGACTCACAATTTAAAACTAAATTCTCCTCATTACAGGCAACACTGACAGCTGAAAAAACGAGATTGAAGTCAATCTGAGCATGCTGAACAGAAAATTGACAAAACTGAAGAAAATTCACCAAAATAAGCCGGGCTTAATAATTTTTCTACATCATCATCATCATTACTCTGGCAATTTATTGATAAAATGATTCAGTCTACGTCCGCTGGTAGCAGGGCACATAAACAACAATTACTAAAAGGCATTAAAACTCAACTAAGGAAATATCCGAAAGAACCAGAAATAAATAGACACAATGATCCACTACAGTGGTGGAGTGACAAAATCCCGGAAAAAAAGTTCAACAGAATTACTATAAACTTTTGAAACATATGGCCTATAGAATTTCTTTAGAATTTCTATTAAGTTATATATAGAAATTGCTATAAAACTTTTTAAATAACAACAATGAAGCTTAACAGAAAACAGCAGTCACTTGGTATTCTGAATAGTCCACATTGTTGACCATGCTCAACACCAAGTATAGGATGTACAGGATTTTGGCTCCTGTAGTTTTGTTTTGAAATCCGGCTCCGAATCCGGCCGGATCTGTCAGTAGAAATCCGGCAAATCCGGCTCCGGCCGGATTTGAAAAAATTAAATCCGGTACAGCCCTAATATATATATATATATATATATATATATATATATATATATATATATATATATATATATATATATATATATATTTATTGTGATTTGTGTGGCCGTACCGCTTGTAAGTCATTATATTATGAATGTGTTGATCATAACCTATTTGCATGCGATATTTGGAATTTATGTGGGTGCACTGAAACTGTTCAATTTTTTATTATTATTACTTTCGATTATTACTTTCAAATATCCGAAGGGTTCAACATGAATCAAGCTCAGTTTAAACAAAATAAAGTTAACCCTAAAAAGTCGTTACAGGTCGCCCCTGGATGGGATAATCAAATATTTCCT